CCCTGGTGCAATTTAGAGCAGCCTCGGGGATGCTCTAACTTATGTTAGTGCTGCCCAGGGCCCTCTAGAAGCCATGAGAAGCAGATAATAATTGAAATGCAGACATGCCAGGTCCTGGATGGCAAGGGGTTGCATATAGCCACTCCGCCAGTTTAACCTTAGACAGGGGTAATTCCTATTGCCAGCCCTACTTCTGACCCCAACACACTGTGGGATCCCCATTCAAGTGCCAGGGCAGTAGTTTGCTGAGTCAGTCCAGTGATGACCAGCAATGGAGCAGGGAAAGGAAGCGGCAAGAGATGGTCTGAAGGAACTCCCCAGCATGGGTGTAGGGGAGCAGGTGGGGGTTCTTTAGCAAGGGATGGATTCAGAGATAAAACAATGACGACAGCTGAGTTCAGAGCTCTGAGAAGTCCGGGGTTAAGACAAGACAAGACATTTCAGGAGGCCGCTGTGCCTGGATCTCCTCACTCCCCAGGAGGGATCAATTTTATGTCCTTAGCCTACCTAGCGCTCAGTCCTGGGAGCAACTATCTCTGGCTGTGCAGTTTGATTTCACTTGGTGGGGAGCAGCCACTTCAGGTTCGCAGCTTAACAAGAAGTTTTTACAAGAAACGATCTTTGCACTTCAGAGCCTTAACTAGGTGAAATAAAATTCAGTGACCAAAAAACGAAGGGGAAGGTGAACACAGTATCATCTTTGCCCTGTCAACCCCCGGCGACACGCCCAGCCCCAAGGTACTGCCGCACCCGGCGACACGCCCAGCCCCGAGGTACCCCGGTGACGCGCCCAGCCCTGAGGTACCGCCACACCCGGCGATATACCCAGCCCTGAGGTATGACTGCCTCCCCTCTGCTAGATCATAGCACTTTAGCACATTCCTTTAGCAAGGGAGCAGAATTTCATCATGTCTAGGCAGCAGAACACCTGGGACCCCACTTATCAAACCACAGTAGTGTTCAAATTATGCTGAGACTCAGCCAAGTGTCTTGTATCTTAGAAAGAAACCCCTCATTGAGAGCTGGAGCCCCTACTCCTGCCCCTGACTCGCTGGCAGAAACAGGTGCCTTTTTGGTATGATGAACAGAAGCGGCCACCCTTTCCTGTCCATCATTCAGCTTGGCCAGCTCTCCCCTCCCCTTGCCGGAGGAGCTCAGGTGGACCTGGCCAGCCAGAGAAGAAGAAAGCCATTAGCCATACTAAACTGTATGCTGGGTGCCAGGCTTCCTCCTTCCCTGCAGCATGCTGCAGCCAGTTGGCTGGTACATCAGCAGGCCAGGTCTGCGCAGACAAGATGGACAAAGGGAGGGCAAGGTGGGAGCTGCAAGGCTGACAACTGGGGAAGGAGAGGCAGGAGGCTGGGGAGAAAGACAGCCAGAGACAGGGTGCTGGAGACAAGAAACAAGAGGCACCCTTCGCCATATGGACTCTCCCCTGCTGCTCCCTCATCCCTGCTCTGCATCTCTCTCTTCCCCCTCCGCCTGCCCGGCTGATGCTCTGGACTCGGCAGTGTCTCTGCTGCCCTGCAGGTGGCGCTATATGACGCTCCAGCTCAGTTCTGTTGTTGCCCATAGGTTGGGCGGGTAGGGAGGGCAGTCACATCTAGGCATGCTTTGCCCACCTTGACCTTCTAGCCATGGGTCTCAAAGCCCTTTACACATAAATGACAACGCCTGCAAGGTGGGTGCATGCCATTATCACTATGGTGCCACAGGGGAAACTGAGTCGTGGCAAGAGGAAGTGACTGGCCTAAGGTTACACAATAATTCAGTGGTAGACCTGGGAATGGAACCAGGAGTCCCGACTCCTACCACCTTGTTCTGTCTCCTTGGCCCCTGATCCCTTTGTGTACACCAGAGACCATGTTATCAGCCTGGGAGGACATCAGGGCCCTGTCACCCACTGTGTGAACCTTATGGGGACTCTAAGCCATGGTGAGCCCCCAGACCAATCCTGACCCCATGTGAATTGCTGCTATTGATACCTGGGGAACTCATTGCCACAAGGCATTCCTGAGGCACAGAGCCAAGTAGGATCCAAATAAATATGAGACATTTAGGTGAATAATAATATCTGCAGTCCCACAAGCTAAAATGGACATGTATAAAGTTCATGCATCCTCCTGTTTCAGGACTAACTGCCTAGGAAGAAACTTCCCTTTTGGACATGGTCCTGCCCGACTGGTCATTGCACTGTCCTCAGAACGAGCTGGCACTGGTCACTGTGAGAGGCGATTGGCTACTGGGCTTCCCTGATTTGGCAGTTCCTACATTCCTGTATTCTGACCCTGTGTGTGATTTCCCCCCACCTCTACCCTCCCCAAGTCCTAACCCTATGGACTCTGACCCCTTGTAGACTCTGGCCTTGGGTGCAGGCCCTGGATGTACTCTCACACTGGGTGATCTCTAGGGTCTATGGGGTCTCCCTGTGTAGCCCATGAGACGTCCAGACACTTTCCAATCCTGCATCTCATGTTGCTTGTGTCACACTGTGCAGCCACCCTTCACAGTCATTCCGCCTGTCTGGCACATTCGTTATGAACTGACGATGGCTTTCACACCCGCTCCTCCTCCCTTCTGGATACCACACCCCTTGCTGGGCATTGCTCCCAAGCATGGCATGTCCTTCTCTGCTTACTCCATGTGGCACACGCTGGACACTCCCCTCCCGGTCTCAGTGCAACGCACAGCAACCACCATCTCAACCCTCATCACCTCCCCTCCACACACCCAACAGGGTCCAATGGGTCTCCAGAAACTTACTGGTGATCTCCTGTCACTCCTCCATGCGCCTGCCCCAGAGCTGGCTCTCTTCACTAAGGGTGGCTTCCCAGTGGCATTCAGACTCCAGAACAGCCAGTGGGCAGCTGGTTTGAAATGCAGGGGTGGTCGGCTAGTGATAGGAATGGCAGCAGGCGACTCATTCTCACAGAGAGCTGAGAGGGAGGAAGGAAGGCCACTGAGAGCTAACCCCACCCTTTCAGTTCCCTTTTTTGGTTTCTGACTTAAGCCAGTAGCTTTGTTTCCTCTTGATCCCACAGGCAGCCTCCAACAGTGCCACCATGAGTCCTATGCAGAGAGGGCACCAGGGCCAAGCCATGGGGTTGGCCTGCGAGTGATGGAGGTGTGTGTGCAGAAAGGCAGGGTGGGACAATGGGCAGGGGCACAGCAATGGAAGGAGAGGGACACAAGGCATAGGCAGAATGAGAGAGGACAGATGGAGCGACAAACAGACAGATGTCAGACAATAAAAGGGAGATCTGATGGAGAGACAGGACAGGCAGAGGAACAGGACAAGAGAGAACAGGACAAGACACATGAGAAATGTGGAGCAGTTGGGTGGAGACAGTAAGGGTCTGTCTACATAGCAATAAAATACACGTGGCTGGTCCAGATCATGTGACTTGGACTCGTGGGGCTGAAAAATTGCAGTGTAGACATTTGGGCTCAGGGGGAGGGTCCCAGAACCCAGGCTCCAGCCCAAGCCTGAACATCTACACTGCAATTTTATAGTCCAGCTGACCCAGGCCAGACGTGGGAGTTTTATTGCAATGTAGACCTTGGAGCTCCCTTCCCCATGTGGGACAAAGGGATGTGTGGGGGGAGAGGGGCAGAGCCAGCTGCTCCACATGTAGGGCAACGGGGATTGTAGGGGTGAGAGGGGCAGAGACAGCCCCTACTAATGTGCCATATTTAACTGGAGCTCTTTCTGGAGCTGGAGGCAGAGACATGGCCAGACACTTCCTCCTACTGAGTCATTAGCTAAGGGTAATTTTTTGCTGTTGATAAAAATGGTAACATAAGAGGAACTACACTTCTGCATTTTTGCTGCCTTGGCAGTATTATGAATTTCTTTGTCATTTAAGGATTTCATTCCCCAGTAGACACCCTGTTGGTATGAGATGGAATGACCTGCACCTTTGCACGCGTTCTGTCTGTGGAAAGGGTTGGTAACACTCGTAGGGTTACCATACGTCCTCTTTTTCCCGGACATGTCCGGCTTTTCGGCAGTCAAACCCCCGTCCGGGGGGAATTGCCAAAAAGCCGAACATGTCTGTGAAAATGGCGGCTCTGCTCTTCCCCGA